GATGGAGGGTGGAGACTGTAGGATCAATGAGCGGCGTTGAGTCCAAGGGACCTTAAGAGAGGACGACCGCGGGGCGAAGACGGCGGGGTGTGGAAAAAAGTCTGCCAGGATGAGGGGCGGGGCCAGAGGTTTGAGGGACAGTAATAGGCAGCTGTCCGACCGCTGAGGGAACAGGGGATAAGCTTTGACGTCAGGGAGCCCGCGGGCTTACCCTCGGGTTTAAATCCTGGCTCTGCCTGCTACTTTGGACAAAATTTTCTTCCTTTTGAGGAGCGATTCTCCCATTCATTCAACAGAAATTTGTGTTAATCCCCTCGTCGTCACAGTGCCCTGTGCTGGGGCCACAGCTGTGACAGAGAGAGGTGGTCGTTGCCCTAGCGGAGTTTATTGAATAGAAGGCCAGAAACGAGACAAATTAGAGGGCGGGGAGGACTCTGAGAATCTATTTGGAAGGATCTTGCAAAGCAGGGGGCTGGTGGAAACATCTTTAAGGGGTTCAGAGAGACTTGGGTTTGATGCGTGGGTTTACTGCAAACAGTGTGATCTTGAGCGAGCGTCTTGACCTCTCTGAGCCATTGGTATTTCATCAAAAATGGAGAGAAAAACAGTTACCTCTGTCAACCCAAATGAGAGACTGAGGCAAGAATCTCAGTCAATCAAGGTTATTGTGCCAGAGCTTGAGGGTGCTCTGGGAAAACACAAGTCACAGGGCCTGTGGTCTCTGGAGAGGTTTCAGGAAGCTCAATATTTATATGTTTCTTTAAAAGGGGAAAAAGCATGGGTTTGGGGGAGAGTAAGGTGGTGAGGCAAATGGTTACGTTCTCTTAGATTTTAATTAGCGCCCAGTAAATCTATGCTACACATAAGGTAAACATTCAAAAAAGGGAGTAAAGGAAGAATTAATCATGTAGATGTCCCAGGGTAGGTGAGGGATGATTGATCTCATCTTGATAAGCTTGTAATCGACATTGTCAGTGTGGAATTTAACAGACCTGAGTTTCCTGGACAAGGAGTTAGGCTTAGGTTACAGACCTAAAGTTACAGTTGAGATATCCTTGTTTATGGAAGGAAATACATCTTGAAATGTTAGGGGCAAGCAAAGAATTTCCTTATGAGCAATTCGTGAGGCCTTTTGTAGGGCTCCGGCAAATGTGTAACATTTTGACACAAGGTTGCAAAGTAATGACTGTCTAATCGGAAAAAGTTGACAGTGTTGCATCCAGGCTTAACTTCGCCTTTGGCATAATGAGTTTGGGCCAGCCTGAGACTTTCCATTTTCTTTTACACCTTCCAGTGTTGTTTTAAGGATTTGCAATAAGATGAAATATTGAAAGCACAGTCTATGTATAACAGATGAGAGTTTTAATCGACAGATACTTATTACGTGCAAGCTATTTGACAGTTTCTCAACCTCCGCACTAGTGACATTTGGGGTCTCATCACTGTTGTGGAGGGCTGTCTTTGCATTGTAGGATGTTTAGCAGCATTTCTGGCCTCTACCCACTAGATGCCAGTAGCATTCCTTCCTGTGACAACCAAAAATGTCTCCAGACATTGACAGTTGACAGGTGTCCCTGGGGGCTTTTGCCCCAGCTTGAGAACCACTATATGCAAAGTTCTCTTCTGGAGCTGGGAATACCCCACCCCTGTGGAGCTTAGTTCTAGCAGGGGAGCCAATAAATAAGAGGATTTCTGGTGTGATAATAGCCTTATTTTCTCCGTAGCACTTATTACTACCATTGGCTAAGAGGCATTTCAAGGATCCTCTGAAACTGCCCCAAGGATTTAGCTCCCTCTGGCTCCTCAGAAGAGCGACATTCATAGTTGGGTCAGGAATTTGATCACCTGAACTTTGGCTTTCTTTGCAGCCATAGAGGAAATCAAAGAGAAAATGAAGACCGTGAAACACAAGATCTTGGTGTTGTCTGGGAAAGGTGGTGTCGGGAAAAGCACATTCAGCGCCCACTTGGCCCATGGCCTCGCGGAGGATGAAAACACGCAGGTGGGACACGGGGAGAAACTGAGGGATGCTCCTTCTGTCTGAGGTGCACGATGGCTTTAGAGAATTGAGTCCTTAGACGGAGTTGAATTGGTCTCTTTGGAATCGTGATCCTTGCAGACAATGAAGAACTGCCTAGCAGTCAGAGAAGCATTTCCTTGGCTTCTCTAGCCAAGAAAATGGATATCAGGTGTATCTCTCTCCTTGCATGCTGATTATTTGTTACATTAAGTTCAGGTGACTTTTTTCTCTTTATTAACCCCTTTCTGCTTTTCTCTAAGCTAGGGGCCTACAGGCTATAGCCAGGGGGCCAAATCCAGCCCATCTGCTGTCGTTTTATGGTCTGGGAGCTGAGAATGGTCCTCACAGTTTTAAAAAGTCACCATGACTTTTAAATTGTTACATAAGTATCTACATATTATTCTTGATTTTGCCCATGAAGCCTAAAATATTTGATATTTGGCACTTACATATTGCTAAAATATTTGCTGACCCTTAACACTGGCCATTCATTTCTACCCAAGTACACAGATGAACATGAACGTTCAAATGACTCAGTGTTGCTCTCTGGATCTCATCTTTAATAAAAGGTGTAGTGGGCAGCCCAGAACACAGGCTTTGGAGTCAGACAGCCCAGGTTCACGGTGCAGCTCTGTCCACACCACCACTGCTGTGACCGTGGGCAAGTTACCAAGCTCGCTCTGCCTCAGTTTTCTCATCTGTAAAATGGGATGCAGAGGACTGAGTCGGACAATGTGTGTAAAGCACTTAGCTAAGTACGTGCTCAGTAAATGTCCATGACACCAATCATTATTCTTATTAATACTTTATTCTACTAATGAACATGAAGGGATGATGATGGTTTCTACTGTGGAGATGAGTTTGTCGCCTACCCAAAATACAGTGCTGAGCAGGTTCAAAATAGACTTGTCAGTTCATTGTTCTGTTAGTCAGTGGTCTCTTGCCATGTGAGGGTCAAATTTGTATTGACTCATGGACTGGCCAAGACATCTGTCAGATTGCCCGTGTGATCCAGAATGATCTCTGCTTTTGGAAGCTGTCAGGAATATTCTTGAGCAGCTCTGGAGACAGGCTTTAACCCAGCCAGTTGCGAGTAACCGCTTGTGAATAGACAGCTGTTCACATCATTCGCTTCCATGTGATTATGTTCTGAAGTCCTTGCTGCGCCCATGTCTAGACTTTGCGATACACGGAAGGAAAGCACACCGCTCAGTGTGGAGACACAGCTAGATAAGCTGTACTTATTTATGCGGCGGCAGTTTCAACCGTCTCCCGCAGGTTGGAGACGGTGCCAGGGAAGTGGGAGGTTGATTTGTTGCGAGGATTGAAGAGGGAAGCAAGAAAGGAATTTGGGTCAGTTAAAAAGTTACCCACAGGTGCTGCACTTTGAATCTGAGACATTCCAGCTTTCAGGATGAACATGTGCCCTGTTCTTCAGAAGGTTCCCGAGGGCCATCCCAGACTTCCTTTATCAGAGGGGGAAAGCAGGGTGTCTGGGAGTGGAAGGAATCGTCTGAGCTACATCTAAGTCACCAGCAAAGAGCTTTTCTGGATTTCCTTCTTAAGTTTCTGTTTTGAAAGTTTAGCCTAAGCCATCGCTAACCTTGAGGACCACAGGAAAACAGGGCTTGGTCAGAGCTCAGCCAGACATTCTGCTCTGGTTCTCCTCGTGGAAAGAGCTGGTGTCAAAGTAGAAAGACCTTCGTCTACATCCCAGCTCTGTTCCTCCCTCATTGAGCAAGTCACTGGCCCTCTCTGAACCTCAGTTTCCTCTTCTGTAAAGTAGAGATAATGATACCCACCTCCTAGGCACACAGTGAGGGCTGAGTAAACAGTGGCTGAAGCTGAGTCTCCAAGTGACCTGACACCCAGGCCCGTAAGGTCACACAAGATGGCCTTGGCCAGACTCGGAAGAGCGTCAGTGTCAATGGACTTTGAGATCGTTGTTATTACTCTACCTCATGGGAGTCCCGTTGCTCTAGGTCTGACCTAGTTTCTTTCTGTCTTCTCCCCGGTCCTGTTCCTCTAACCCTGTTCCCCTCCCCATCGTGCGTCTCCGGAGTCTGTGCATTCAGCTGTGAACCGCTCTGGTCTCTTCTCGTCCCAGGTTGCTCTCCTAGACATCGACATATGTGGGCCGTCAATTCCCAAGATAATGGGATTGGAAGGCGAACAGGTAATAGCTATGTTACAACACCCAGGAAATCCTTCTCTCAAGGCAAACTGAGTAGCACTGAGCTACTAGCCCTAAACAAAGAGCTAAGCAGAGCTCGTAAATTTTTATGTGGACTGACGAGCCTGGATAAATGTTCAGTAGTCCATCCTGACTACAGCAGCTATGGATTTTGGAGGATGGGATTATGTATAAAGGCCATCCATACCATTCGAGAAGCCTGATTTCGATGCCTCCGTAGAGGGGAAGGGAAACAGCAAGTGAAATGCAGAAGTGAGACACGGAAACTTAGCTCTGGCAGGGAACACTACACCAGGGTTTGCTACGGGTCTCTACCCTGGAAACAGAGGAATATTTCTGCCCTTGTGGTCTCCCCTGGGGAACTGAGACTGCAGAGTTGGGTGAGTGACGTGGGCTGGGGGCAGGGCCCAGCAGTGTGTGCAGTCGCTGGTCCTGCCTCGCGGGTTGCCCGAAGGCTCCGGGAAAGGATTCCCCCAGGGCAGCGTGTGGAAGCAGGGATGGGGGGCTAGGGTGTCCAGCGGTTTCAAGACTGGCTTATTCTTTAACGAGTGTCAGCCCGTTCTGGGGATGCAGTGGTGAACCGGGCCGGTGAAGCTCCTGCCCTTGTGGGAGAGGGCAGGTGATGGATAATATAAAACTAACCCCTGACAGGCGGACAGGCGGGCCAGGGCAGGGGGGCTGCTACATGGGAGGGGCCAGCTGTGCAGAGAGCTGGGGAAGAACATTCTGGGCTGAGGGGGCAAGTGCCAGGGCCTGACATGGGGTATCCTCAGGACACCTCGGTGGGGTGGCCAGTGGCGCTGGAGGGTGGCCCAAGGCAGATGGGGCCAGGCCTTGTGGACACTGCTAAGGCCTTGGGCTTTGCTGCTAAGGGAGCGGGGAAGGGGTGTGGCATCCCCCACAGTTGAGACAGAGCAGTGGGATCCCCACGTTCGATCGCGTACCCCATCAGTAACATGTTTGGTTATGTGTGCCCCCAACGTGGGTATAAGTCCCTCACTTTGGTCATGCATGAGTATTTTATGGAAGAAGAAAATTTTAAATGATAAGATAAAATCGAAGTTCTACTATTTTCCCCTCCCGTGCTGTTGGAACATCATGTTTACCCCTCTTTAAGACAAGTGGACTTAGCAAACAAGTACAACTAGGAATGAACGGTTCATTTGTTTTTTAAAAATAGAACTTCAGGGTCACCAAGGACTGCATGTTACATGATTCCACGTATGTGAAACGTGCAGAGGGGGCAAATCCACAGAGACAGAGAGGGGGTTGGGGGTCACCAAGGCTGGGGTGGGAGTAAGGGGAGTGGGGTGCTGGCTAAGGATGCAGGGTTTCCTCCTGGAGTCTTAGAAATGTTCTGAAATGATTGTGGGGATGGCTGCACCCCTGTGTGAACATGCAGAAAGCCACTGAGTTGTTCAGCTCCAGTGGGTGGATTGTAAGGTGCGTGCATCTTACCTCAGTAAAGCTGTTGAGAAAGGTAAGAGTTCATTGAGAAAACAGACTTTCGATTTTAGCTCCCATATGTTGCTGTAAAGAAGTGTTATTTCTGAGGCTGAGGTGTAACTGGAAGTTGTTCCGGTCCTAGTTTCATGATAAAGAGGCGGTGCAGAGCTGGGCCTGGATGCTGATGGACACCTGGAGGGAGGGGTCTGTGCCTTCACGCGGCCCCAGGGGGCGTCCCCTGCCCCTTGGGGGCAGCAGCGGAGCTGAAGCTCAGGCCGGGGATGGGCCAGGCTCTGAATCAGCTGTCCCACTGGAGGCAATTCCTTTTCTCCCAGCTCCTGCAAAAGCAGCCTCGTAGCTCCACAGTCAACCCGCATGTTCTCAATAACCCCCAACCGATTTCTGTCACTCTTTTAAAATACCTCAGACCCTAAGTTATATTTGAACTAAGGTAACTTTGGTTCCCTGACTAGATAGGCAGGCAGAGTTTCAAAATCACCCAACTCGGGGAGCAAAGGGAATTGCATTACCCACACCCCCAGCTGTCCAACAGTGTTACCACGTAGGACCACGCGTTGTATTTTATAAAACCATCCTCCCACTTCGTACAGTTTGTGCATCAGGTGTGTCCAGGGTGCATGGTGTCTACAAATGGTATCGATGCTCTTGTCCTCACAGGTTCACCAGAGTGGCTCAGGCTGGTCCCCTGTGGTGAGTTTTCACCTCTCTGCCGTATTCTCAAGGTAGTGTGCATGGGTCGTGTGTGTGTAATGGATTTGTGGTAGGTTGGCAACGTTCTTCTCAGCCCACCTGTTTGTCACCTCACAAATATTTACTGAGACACTTGTCAAGGCACAGGGGATGCAGTTAGACCAGGGGTTGCCAAACTTTTTCTGAAAAGGGTAGGACAGCAAATATGTTCAGCTCATAGCTCAAAAGTAGTAACATGTAACTGAATGATCACAACCGTGTTCTAATAAAACTTTATTTACAACAACAGACAGTGGGCCAAACATGGCCCCAGTTAGCCAGCCCCTGGTTCAGTTGAGGAAATGACATTTGTTTATTTCAGCTAAGTTTACCGTCATTGCAGCACATGGCTGCACAGCACCTCTTTCAGATCCCCCTAATAATGGTACCTTTTTAAAAAAAAAAAAAAAAACGCTTTGAGGATGCAAAGGATGAATGTACTCGGAGGTCACATGGTAATCTTGTCCCGAAGCGGTTTTTTGGCCCGAGCTCAGGCAAAGGACGTAGGGAAGTGCCTCGCTGTGTGGTTTTGAGTAAAGCGTGACGCGCCCCTCCTGTTCCCCCTCCAGTACGTGGACGAAAACCTGGGCGTGATGTCTGTAGGCTTCCTGCTCAGCAGCCCCGATGACGCCGTTATCTGGAGGGGACCGAAGAAAAACGGTTTGCCACTCTGCTTCTCCTCTCTTCTCACGTTTTTCCGGAGCACGACGGCTCTGAGTTTCACCTGCGTCCTGTCCCTTCAGGACGGCAGCAGTGTCATCCTGCCGGGCTTTGTAGCAAAGTTATTTTTAAGCACGTGGTTGCTTCTTTCTTCGCGGAGTGAAGAGAACTAATGGAAATCCCAGTTTCCATTATATAAGTTTGGATATCTGCTGTGAGGCTTTCTCTCCTTAAAAGTTATAGGACCCTGAAGTTATTTTGGCTGTGGCTTTGTGGTGGCTATTTGTGTGCAGTGAGATCAACGCCAGCCTGACCCGGTCCTGAGACCAGGGTCCTAACGTGAACGTGGTCCTGGGGGCAGCTTCCCCGGTCTCAGCAGTGTGGATGTTCGGGCCCGATGAGTCTTTGCTGGGGAAGGCGTGGCCTGTGCCCCGCGTGGTGGGGCGTTCACAGCATCCCTGCCCTCTATGCGCTGGATGCCAGTAGCGTGCCCTAGCCCAGTCGTTAGAACCCGGAATGTCTCTAGATATGGCAATATCGCCCCCCCATTGAGAACCACCGGTTTAGCGCATTAACCAAACACACATAAAGATCACAAACTGCTTCTGTGGAGAGAGTCAAGTACAGAAAAGGAAGGAGAAGCAAGCTCACCCACGGATCCCTCTTTCTAGGCATGATCAAGCAGTTCCTCCGCGACGTGGACTGGGGAGAGGTCGACTACCTCATCGTGGACACCCCGCCCGGGACGTCGGACGAGCACCTGTCGGTCGTCCAGTACCTGACCGCGGCTCGCATCGACGGAGCCGTGATAATCACCACGCCTCAGGTGAGCGACACCCCCCCCCCGGTGGAGCTGGTCCAGCCGTGCCTCGCGCCAGGTGTCTTTCTGTGTGGCTCCGAGCGCCTGGTCTCGCGGGGGCCCTGCAGAGTGTGCTCCAGGGCTGCGCCAACTCGGATCTGCAGAAACCTCTTGTTTAAAACTTTGTCTTTGGTCCAGGCATTTGTAGTTGACAGATAAACATTCCACAATTTTTTTTTGGTCATCCACAGATTAAACAATATTGGGTCAAAATTGTCTTTTAAACTTTCCCTCAGAAAACCAGGGAAACAACTGGTGCTGGTATAATTGGCCACCCTATATGGTCACGTCATCCCTGCCGTGCTTGGATGTTAAGTCCCCCAGTCTGCCATGCTTTTCCATTCGCGTCTCAGAATGGTTTGGGAAATCTCCCCAGTTTTCAGCAGAACCAGCCTGGGTGTGGACGGGGACTTCAGGATAAGCTGCCACAGGCCTCTTACCCCACTGGTGCTGCCCGGCTCCCCTCTGCACAGGGACAGAGTGGCTGTGCCACCCGGCCGTGGTGAGCCCACACTGAGGGGAGAGAGAGGGACTGTCTCAGGTCAGGCCTGCCAAGAACTCACAGGCAGGGCTGCAATTGCCGTGGGTCTCAGAGGGGCCCAGGAAACTGAGGGACTGCCCTTCAGTTATACTTGATTTCCCTTCTGGGTGTTCTCCTCCCCTCCCGAGAAAGCCCAGGGAAGGGGATTTGCTTTCCTCGGCCCGAATCGATCAGGATGACCCACAGTCCTCCCCATCCAGCACTGGCCGGGTGGGCACCGGGGCAGTTAAAAGGCCTGGCCCTCCCTGGTGGCCCCTGCGTTTCACTGAGGAACACGGATGCTGGACATACACACCGTGATGCAGCCAACAAGTGACAGGGACGGCGGCCACTTGGGTCTCGGGGGAGTGCTGTGACAGGACTTGTGTCCAGCAGAGCACTGTGATGCCCTGCAGAGAGGGGTCATGGGGCAGAGAGGAGCAGGACAGCAGTTGGGGCTCTGGATGGGAGGGAAGGTGGCCTGGTCCGGGCAATGGCAGTGGAGAGAAAGATTTGTCCTTAGGGATGTTTTCTGTTGTGTTTTTAAAAAGGGTTAGCGCCACCCTTAGACTTGCAGTACCATCATGAGGAGGTCCCCAAAGACATTCCCTAAAAGGAGGAAAGTCTGGTTGGAATGTGCCCCTCTGGGGCCGGGCCACATGGGAGCTCTGCACTTGCTGTTCAGGGTTACTGCCGACTTAAGACTCCTTTAAAAAGTGAAATCTAGGCCGGGCGCGATGGCTCACGCCTGTAATCCTAGCTCTCTGGGAGGCCGAGGCGGGCGGATTGTTTGAGCTCAGGAGTTCGAGACCAGCCTGAGCAAGAGCGAGACCCCGTCTCTACTAAAAATACAAAGAAATTAATCGGACAACTAAAAATATATAGAAAAAATTAGCCAGGCATGGTGGCGCATGCCTGTAGTCCCAGCTACTCGGGAGGCTGAGGCGGGAGGATCTCTTGAGCCCAGGAGTTTGAGGTTGCTGTGAGCGAGGATGACGCCACGGCACTCTAGCCTGGGCAACACAGTGAGACTCTGTCTCAAAAAAAAAAAAAAAAAGTGAAATCTATTAAAAAACACCACCACCAACAACAACAATCTAATTGGCACAACAGTGGCCACGTTTATTGGGAGAGAAACTGGAGTCCCCCTGGGGTTCAAGGAGGGGGCAGACCAAGCCGGGGCCACCCTTCTGTGGGAGGCACGGAGAGCTGTCCGCTTCGTGCACCCTTTGTACGCAGCTTCCCTGGGAAAGGGCTTCAGGCTGGCACACCCGCTTTCTCAGAGTCCCTCGGAGTCCAGCACCGACACAGGTGGGTGGCTGTGGGGGTCGTTCTTGACAAAGCAGCAGAGCATTGATCTGCAGGACGCCAAGCAGAGACCCAGAGGGGCGATGAGGTGAGAGGCGGGTCGCAGCCAGCCCGCTTTCTAGCCAGACGCCTCGCTGTACCGCGGCCTGCAGGGGCGAGCGCCAGGTGTGCGCCTCAGGAAAAGCACAGGCTGGAAGCTGCGAGCCTTTCGGGAGCCCGGAAGGGCAAAGCCGCAGGTGCTGTGGCAGTGCCGCACTGGGCAGTCCCAAGCCATAGCCGTGCCTGGGCACACGGAACTGCAGTGACGTGACGTGGGGGAAACAGCAGGAGTCCTGAGCAGGCTCGCGTGGTGACCACACTGTCAAATGAGCACTCGAGTTTAGAAGGGAACGTGGAGTCACTGAAGTTGAGTGATATTCCTTATTTCCTTTTAGCCCATAAGGCTGTTTGTGTTCATAATCTAGATTGGGGGTCAGCAAACCTTTTCTGTAAAAGGCCAGGTAGTAGGTATTTTAGGCTCTGTGGACCCCACAATCTCTGTCCTGGCTACGCAGCTGCTGTCGTGGAGTGAGGCAGCCATAGACTCTATCTAGAGGGATCGGCACAGCTGGTTCCAGAAGAGCTTTATCTGTGAGAGCAGCCGGCCAGGTTTGGCCCACAGCCCGGTCCTTGCCCGTCCCTGACGTGCAGAGTCCCGTGCGCCGCGGCTCCACGCAACACGTTACAGGAAGGCGGGGCGCGGAGATACGTTAGAGGGTCACGTTTCTCTAGATTCATTGCTTGTTGTTTGGCTGTTTGGGTTTTTCCTTCCAGGGTTTTGTGGGAAATAAATAATGCCCTGGGCGGGCCTGAGCACTCACAGGCACTGAGCGATTACCGAGCAGAGGGCACGCGCCTCCATGACGTCAGTCGCCGCACTGCCGCCACCATCAGCCTCGCGGACATTCCGTTTCTTATGCTCTGACTTCCGAATAACTGGTCTCTCTTGACCTCGACAGGAGGTATCGCTGCAGGATGTGCGGAAAGAAATCAGCTTCTGCCGCAAGGTGAAGCTGCCCGTCATCGGGGTGGTGGAGAACATGAGCGGCTTCATCTGTCCCAACTGCAAGGTGACAGCTCGTCGGCCGCCGGACGGTCTAACACAACTCCCGCCTTAGTGGTTGAGGAAACAATAGGAAAAGTTCTCTGCACAACTGTTCCTGCTTTCCCTGGCATTTCAGGAAGTGGAATCACAATTACAGTCCTCTACTGCTGACTGAAGGAAAATGCTTTTGGTGTTTAATGTTTTACATTCAAAATGAGACTTTTTTTTTAGGTTAAGACAGCAGTCCCTGGCCTTTTTGGCACCGGGGACCATTTACATGGGAGACAATTTCTCCACAGACCGGGGAAGAGGGCCATGGTTTCAGGATGATTCAAGTGCATTACGTTTGTCATGCACTTTATTTCTGTTACTACATTGTTATATATAATGAAATAGTTACACAACTCACCACAGGTTGGGAACCTCTGTTTTAAGATGTGGGCCATCTTTGTGATTCCGCAACAAAATCACACTTCCTCCCCTTTTGTCTCGCAGAAAGAATCTCAGATATTCCCTCCCACGACCGGCGGCGCGGCAGCCATGTGCCAGGACCTGAAGTTGCCTCTCCTGGGCAGAGTGCCCCTGGACCCACACATAGGTGGGTGACCTCCCCCCCCCCGTTGCTGAGCGGGGCCTTCACTCCCTGACCAGCCCCCATGGGCACCATGAGGGCTGGGCACAGAGGGACGACAGGACATGGCAGCCAGATCCCCTCCTCTGGCCGACACGCAAGAGGCCACGGGAGAGAAGCCGAGAGCCACGCAGGCAGGTGGCCGTGGGAGCAAGTGAGCCTTAGAGGAGGGGTAGCCTCTGCCCACAGGCTCCTTCCCTCTATTTCCCCACCCCACAGGGCAACACGATAGGAGAGTTGAGGGAACAGCCAGGACAGGGTGGACCTCCTGGGGTCCACTCGAGGTGAGCGAGCAGCTGTGGACAGTGCAGCCACTTGGCCCTGTTTCTCTGGCAGCGCTACGGCCTGGGGGGCAGGTGGAGCAAGCGACCGGGGGCTGGCAGAGCGGATGGGAGGTGAGAAAACCACTGAGAATAGCTGAGGCCCCCTGCGTCACACCACCTGCACTGGGTTAACGGTGGCCCCAGGATAGCTGTGTGCTCGGGACAAGGCTGACCCATTAATCACGTAACGTTTGTACACGGCCAGTGAAGGCCAACGGACCAACTGATGCCCATGGGGATGACCCGGAGTTAAAATGACATGTGGAAAAAGCAAAGGCAGAGCCTGTGTATCGTATGTTCCCATTCGCAGTTTAAGAGTGTGTGTGTGTAGTATTTCTGGAAAGACACCTAGAATACTAGTAGCCCTTTGTGGCTTTGCTTTTCATGGACAGCCTTGTGTATCCATACTTCTTCTTTAACCACGTGCATTCATGATCTTTTTACTCAGAGAACTAGTTAATCTCTTAAAATGCAGACTCCTGGCCCCACCGAGCTGCTGGCTCCGTCCTCTGGGGCCCTGGTACCTGCATCTCCCACACACCACCCGAGGATTCAGCCGCACCGCAGTGTAGCTGGGGGCCTGCCGGGGGAGGGGCGCGCCGCGGTCTTGGGGACACGGCATTCTTCCCAGCTGTGTTCTTCACCGTGAGGAGGCACCTCGGGATCTGAAGACCATCCCCTGCTCAGACTGGGCCCCGGCGTCGTGTTGCCACTGTGCCGTCCTCGGGGACCGAATTGTCTTTCATTTCTTTCTTTAAGGGAAGAGCTGTGACCAAGGCCAGTCCTTTCTGGCTGAAGCCCCAGACTCACCGGCCACCGTTGCCTACAGAAGCATAATTCAGAGTAAGTGTGCAAGCGAGTCGGGCGAGCGCAGACGCCTGCGGGGCTGGGACGGAACCGAAAGCAGTGAAGTGGGTGGGTGTGGGAAGGACGGTCTTCCATTTAGAGTCAGGGATGGCCACTGCCACCAGCCTCGGGTGGGGACAGCAGGGTGGTGGGGCCTGCCACAGAGCCAGGAGTCTCAGAGAAATCGCCCCTCGTGTCAGTGTTGTGAACTAACTCATGGTGTGAAAAACATGGCGAGGGTGAAATTTATGGCATCAGAAATATATCAATAAAGTTATTAAAGAATTGATGTAAAAAACAAGCAAACCACAGTGAGCCAGACCAAACCCACACACGGGCCAGATTCAGCCGACAGGCAGCCACGGGGGCCTCAGATCCAAGGCAGAGGTGTCAGTTGTTAAAGTTTCAGCCTCTTAGTGTATGTCTGGGATTTTATTTGCCTAGAAAAATGGAGTTAAGGGCAAGTAACAGCATTCCCCAAATTCTCCATCTATAGACGGGGCCAATGCTAGGCGTCTAGCCTTTGGTTATAACCATGGTGGGCAGGGTGAGGTATTTGGGTCACTTTGGAAGATTCAGGCATCACAGAAACAGGGCTTTTTATGGAATTAGGCCGTAAGGGGATCCCACCCCAGTCAGACACAGCCGACCTCGGCACGCAGCAGGGCTGCCCCGGGGTGGACAAGCCACCAGTGCTCTGTGCCTCTCGTCTTATTTTCCAGGAATCCAAGAGTTTTGTAACCTCCATCAGTCGAAAGAAGAGAACCTCATCAGTTCCTGAGACAAGAGGGTGCTGGGAGCCCCAGCAGTCCCTGAGCTGAGGAGCTGGCGGGTGGCAGCGCGCAGGCAGGCCTGGCCACCTCGGGGCAGGTAGGGGTCGCAGGCAGCGAGGGACCAGACGCTGGTGTGGTTTGAAGTCACTTTCTTAGAGACACTTTAATCATCTAGTGTTTGTACACTTTTCTTTAGAACATATGTAAAGGGCATTTTTTTTACAAACGTGCCATTGTAAAAATAAAAACGCCTCCTCGAACCTTTCCTCCAAGCTTGTTCCACGTAGAAACAAACAGCCGCAGGACCATGGGATTCTGCTCTGTTGGAAGCTTGCTCGATCGTAAAAAGTCCCATTTAAGCCATTTCTGCTAAGAAAAGAACCGAAGGAATGGATGTGTGGCTTCCTGCAGAACGCACAGTCACGTGTTCAAATGGCACAGTCCAGCCCTTCAGAGGGAGGAGAAATCTAAACAGTGACCGAGCACGCTGGGGGTGTTCTGAGATCAGCGCACATGATACCGCTGGGTGTAGTCAAAAAAAACCCTTGAAAAGCCCTTAAATCACCCACTAAGACAATCTGTGGTCTGCGTATATACCCAGTACAGTAATATGTGTACAGTATATTCCAGTAATTTCCAGTGTCTTCTACAAAACGATTTTCAGGTTTTTTTAATTACATAAAAAGATATAAACTCTAGAATCATCCTCATTGCCATGAGGTGCTTACTCCGTGTTTGAGAAACAGGACTGAGGCCAGCTTAGGGGAGTGTAAACTCCTGTTTTTCATCCATTCTGGGGCATAAAAGTGGAAGGGTGGGCAGGTCCCCCTGCTTCCCCCCCTGCCCCTGCATGTGAGGAAGGTGGGCCTCCTCTAGAGAGCCAGGAGGCTGCAAAGCCCCAGGGCAGGCCCAGCGCCCAGTCTGGTTCCTGCCTGGCTGGTACCTGGCCACCTCAGGGGATGGGGAAAGCCCCTCCAGACTCACCTAACGTTGGTGTACCTCCTCAAGGCCAGGCTTCTGGAAGTCTCCTGGGCAAACCTGCAAGGGGAAAAGTCACCCATGGCTTTCTGACCTTATACTCGAGTGGGCTGACCCTGCTGACTGGAGGCCAGAGAAAACCCACAACTCACAGAAAACCTGCAGACCCGTCACTTGATGTCGTGGCATAAAGTGGCACTGTTCAAATTTAAGATGGGTCAAACCATTTCAGGGTGAGCCTGGTCAAATTTAAAAGTCATCTAGTTCTCACTTCTAGAAATATCTGTTAAGTTTAAAAACAAAGCATTTGATTCTTTCCTTAATTCTATAGTTTTAAAAAAAATCACTCAAAACTAACAATGGCAGTCACAAAAGGACAAATACTGTCTGCACTTACAGGAGGCTCCTAGAGTAAAACCCACAGAAACAAAGTATTAGGTTAAGTATGGAATGTCTGATTTCCTTAAGTAATAAGTTTGACAGTTGATAGCTCTAATATTTCACTTTGACACTTGGTTTTTTTGTTTATTGTGAAGGTATATCCTTATTTTTTTCAAACACAGTTTGGCTTGGGATTATCTTTCAAAGTTTTTTTTAGAGTAATTTTTGGGAAACCACGGATAAGTCAAAAATTTGTGTTAGTTTTGAAAACGAGTTTCCTTGTGGAACCAATGCAGCTCAAAATAGCAATGAGGAGTTTAAGAAGGATAAGGCTAATGAATGCACAGCATGTCAATTGTTTGAGAAGTTCCATTCTGGTGATTTTAATCTTGAAAATGAGCCACTTGGGTGACCTGAGACCAAGGTGGATAATGATGAGCTGAAAGCTGTAGTGGAAGCGAATCCATCTCACCTATGCATGAATTAGCAGCAAGGTTTGACGTTACTATTCCAACAATATTGGACCATTTGAAACAAATCAGCAAGATAAAGAAGCTGGATAGATGGGTTCTGTGTGAATTAAACGAGCGTCAGAAGAGAAATCATCTCAAAGCTTGCCTTTCTTTGCTGTCACGACATAAAGGCAAACCATTTTGTATTGTTACATGTGATGAAAAATGGATTCTTTTTGCCAATTGCAAGCATTCAGCACAGTGGTTGGATAAAGATGAAGTGCCAAAACACAGTCCAAAACTGAATATTCATTTAAAAAAAATCTAATGGTGTCTGTTTGGTAGCACTGGTATTATCCATTATGGCAGATGTCTAGTGTAACCAACTGGATGAAATGATGAGGATGCTTGTGATTAAGCAGTCAAGATTGGTCAATAGAGACAGGCCAATCCTCTTGCAAGACCACATGTGGCAAAAAACAACACTGCTCAAACTACAGAGGCTGGACTTGGAAACTCTCTGTCATCCACCATGTTCACCAGACCTTGCACTAACTGACTTCCACTTCTTACAGCCTTTGCACCACTTCTTGCAAGGAAAAATACTCAATTCTCAACAAGCTGTGGAAAATGCCTTTTATGATTTCATCACCACTCGCTTTCCAGGCTTCTTCGCTGCTGGCATAAACAAGCTACCGTTAAGATGGCAAAACTGTGTCTATAGTTTAGGTGCATCCTTTGATTAATTGTACTGTTTCTCGTTTGAGATATAATAAACTAACCTGATTGGAAATCGGACATTTCATATTTAGTGACCTAATAGAATGGAGGTTGCGGGGGCTTGGGGAGGGGAGAACAGGGAGTTAATGTTTAATGGATACAGAGCTTCAATTTGGGAAGACAGAAAAGTTCTGGACATGGATGATGGTTATGGCTGCATGACAATGTGAATGTACTTAATACTATGAACTGTATACCTTAAAATGGTAAATTTTATATATCTTTTACTACAATTAAAAGAACAAAAACCATGGCAGCCTGTAATGTAAAACATTGCTAACTACGGTTGCCAGCAGGCCACCTGTACTTAGAGCATCTGGAGGGGAGTGGTCCAAGAGTTAGACCTCAGTGACTCACCGTCTGGAATACCGTCTGGGACAGAAAACTGGCTGTGACTTTGCTGAGGTCACTCTCTCCTCCCATCTTACAGAGGATGTAGCCATACAGGTTCGCAGCTTGGAGAGAAATCCCAGCAATCACGAGAGCCTGCGCTCAGACAAACCAAGGTCACTGTCAAGAGCATTTACACAAATGTTCCTACCAAACCAAGAGACTGGCTCTGGCCTAATAATGGTAACAGCCGACCTTTACTGGGCTCTCACAAATGCTTGTGGACACCGCTGAGTCATCAGCAACCCAGGAGGCTGCTGCCGTCGTCATCCCATTTTATAGGGAGGAAACCGAAGCACAGAAAAATGAAAGCTGCTCCAGCTCACAGAGCTGGAGTGTGCTCGAGCCAGGGTCCAAGCTCCAGAGACCACACGCCTAATTCACAGTGTCGTTTTACTCTCTAGGGATGTTTTGTGTTCTCACTGAATGGACTGGAGCAGGGCGATGAATTGTGATACCTCCGGAATAAAATTTCAGAACTCCGAGGCTAACTTATTCCTACCTAGAGGAGCTTCCTGTCCAAGATAGAATGTCATATTCTTTTCTAAAAAAACTCTTATCAGCTTATTCATAAGAACCAAAAGGCAGAAACAACCAAATGACCATCAGCTGATGAATGGATGAATAAAATGTGGCCTCTTCACATATGACTTCTCAGCCGTATGTGAAAAGGAGCAAGGGGCTGATCGTGCCCCAACACAGATGCACCTCGAAACGTGCTCAGCGAGAGAAGCCAGTCACAGAGACCACAGAGGATATTCCACTTACATGAAATGTCCAGAAGCGGCAAATCTGTAGAGCCAGAAAGATTAGTGGGTGCCAGGTGTTGGGGGGTGGGGAACAGGTACAGGGATGACAGCCAAAGGGTGCAGACTTTCTTTTACGCGTGATGAAAATACCCCAAAATTGATTGTGGTGATGGCCGCACACCTATGACTACACGAGAAGCCACTGAGTTGTACACGTTCAATGGACGAATCCCATGGGAGGCCAGTTATATCTCGACAGGGCCGTCACAGCTGACCCGTCAATCAATGATGAATAACGACCACAGCCCCTCCCCGCAGAGATGGCACAGCGACGTCCGCGTGGAGGCGCCGCCTTACCAGCCACTTCAGCTTCAGGGAGAACAGGGTGCTGAAGAAGAAGACGATCCAGATCACGGGGCAGATGATGAGGCCGAGCCAGAAGATCCGCGCCTCAGCTTCAGTGGCCGCGACGGCGTTTGGAGAGACCTGTTGTGGGAAAGCAGCTGCATTTTCAAAAGCGAGCAGGAACGGCCGTGCACGAGCACGCTCCCATTGTCACCTGCCTGGCACGCGCTTCCGCTGCACGTGTGTTTCAGCGGAGCTCCAGGGGCGGGGGTTTGGGGCGGAAATCAGCCGTGCACGAGATTCCAGAATACCTTCCTGGCTTCAAACACCCAGTGGCTCTTCCCATCTTCGTCTATCTGGTTCCACCACCGGAGGCCCACCATGAGTCTGCCCGTCACGTTCTAGGGACAACGGACAAAGTGACTACAGGCAGGCCCTAGGCAAAGAGTCGTCATCACTGTGTTGACAAATGAAATAAAAGTCACCAATTCACGTCACATTTGTACTGGGAGCAGGAAGAAAAGGGCCTTGATCTGCAGCGGTTTCTCAAATTAGTTTTCAAGGCTTCTTTTCTAACAAAGCTTACTTTACAACGTGACACGCTCTCCTCCCCCAAAATATGTGTATTTATATATTCGTATTATGTTTTCAGTATATGTAAATTTTACCAAAAATACAAAGCCACACAGGGTTGTCACCTTCATCATATACGTATGTGCAATCACGGCAGATGACACCTGGAAGCCATTTATTAAATGCCAAACAGTGCATATTTTTCCCCTCAAATTTTAAGTGACACTGGTTAGCATACTTAAGTATGTCTCAGCATTCGGAACCAAAGTACCTCTTGGTCCCACACGCAGTGGGAACATCCCCCTCTGGAAACGAGCGTTTCGGGAGTGGTGACATCATGGGACAGGGCCTCACCTTCACAGACCAGAAGTCCAAGGACAGGAGGAGAAGCACAGTGACAAAGCAGCCCACAAAGCTCCTGCTGAACCAGTCGCAGCACACGTAGGTGACGATGGCGCTCACTCGGAAAAACAGGTGGAAAAAGGTGGCCAAGGGGTGCCTAGGAAAGAACCCAGAGGGCGCCCTCACTCCAAGCGCTAAAAGGACAGTCACTGAACGCACCCACCTTTACACCTGCCCGGGCTTGTCAGCATTGCCCAATAGGATGTTCTCCCCGTGCATTTCAAGCTGAAACTTTTTTTCTCCCCCTCGAAGAATCCAGTACTTTCCCCTAACTAGACTCCAAATATCACATGCCCTCTTCGAAACAGTCACATTTGAAGTGAAATGTGACGGTGATCACTGCCTTCCCCCTTAGCAGCAACAAGGACCAGTTCCCTAAAGGTAAAGGTTGGGTTTTCCTGATAGTCCCTGAGCACCGAGCTCACGTGCAGCCCACGGGGCAGCCGTCTCATGTCATCGGGGAACGGTGTTCCTGGACAGAGGGAAATGACCGTGACTTGTGAATCAATGGTGCCCTTGGATGTTGACATCTCACCTGGGGGAAGACAGCTCTTGTTCACTGCGCCTTCAGACACAGACCTGGTCAGAAAGAAGACGGCCCACCCGGGGCACCGTGCTCATCCTACATCAAATGCCTTTTTTGTGAGTCTGAAAGAAGAGCTAGGACCCTTTTCATTTAAAAGGTCACTGAATTATCTAGAGCAGATAAATGCTTACAGGTGTCAGGCAGAGGGTATGTAGGCCAGACAGAAGACACTTGGGGCTTTCTGCTTCTTTCTCTGGTATCCCAGTTTTGATAGTGCACACAAGGAGAGAACAATACTCAGCTACAATCAAGAAAACAACAGCGTCAGCCCCATGGTGACGGCAGTGAAAACAGCAGCTCAGTGCTAGGGAGGAGGGGAGGCCACTCTTGTCAGACCAGGCAACTGTGCAAACCAGACCCAGCACTGCCGGATTCGAGATCTTCACGAGAAGCCAGAAATCCAGACTTGCAATGGGAAATCTTGATTTGTAAATGATGGCAGCTAATTATTTTAACAAAATATCACAGGCTGTGTTTCTCACTGGCCTGCACACTGTCAGCTTGCAACCTCTGCATTAGAGTTACAAAATATCGTGGGCTTCTTCAAATGAGAGGCAGGATGGGGTGGTCAGAGAGGTCCAGGGCAGAGCTGCCGGAGAAAGAACCTGCACAGTCCCCCGAAGAAGAAACAGGGTCCAAGTAAGCAAACCATAGGTGCCAAAAAATGGTGGGGTTTCTGCCGCCCAAGGGAACATGAACTAAGATTCAGAAGC